CAAGATAATTAGTGTGTAGACCATTTTCATTTATATAGTGCTCTGTGAACACAAATTAGTTAGCATAAATCAATTAAATGACGAAAAATTAGGTGTCTATTTACTTGTGACTATTCAGTGTATATGAAATTTTTAATAAATTCACAATTTCACACTACCCCCCATGCCTGAGTGTGGTCTCTGACTAAAAGACTAGATTCAATACAACTTATTTTAATGGCTATTAAACACATTTCTGAAAAAATTGAAAATGTGAGTGAACTATAATAAAATTCATCAATGGTTAAAACCACTTTGTGTTTACAAAGCTTAGTACAGTTAACAATAACAGTTTGAACAATTTAAAATTCTAAAATTTTTAATCTCTTTGCTATAAAGCTAATAAAAGTTCTAGAATTAATTATTATGTTTTATTTTCAATACACTTCCATTAAATAAAACAAAAAAGCAATATAAACAGATCTGATTACGCATAGTGGACAATAGCCATATAGGGGATATTGAACATTTGTGAAGTTTTACTGATGAGTGAACACAGAAATACAGGTTAACCATTAAAAAGTTTGCTACTACTTGTAATATCATTTTCCTTTATTGAGAGTGAAATTTGCTATGGTTCAACCTACATACTAAGCACGTGACAAAATAAAAATTAATTCTCTCTTACTTAATCAAATACACACAAAAAAATCTCAGTAACATACTTTATACTTACAGAGTAATAAGGTACAGTTACATCACAAGACCTATCCCCTGAAACCTACTCTCAAGTTTTAACTCATCATAACATCATGATAAGAGTGAATTTCAAGTTATCTAGAAATTGTATAGCCTGAAACATATGTTTCAAACACAATATAAAACTTTGTGAACATAAATTCAGGATGACAGTCAAATACAAAAACATTGCTTCGATATATTTTGAGATAAGGAATGCTTTTCTTAAGTACTTTAAGTGCATTTCAATAACAAAAAAGAAAATCATATACAAAGTTGAGAAAGAATTCTCGAGTTGTAAGATTAGAATGAAATATTTCTGTCCTTGGAAAATATAGTTAAAAAATATTTGCTCTAAAAAACAAATTATAATTTCTTCTCATCTTTTATAAAGGTATGGTCTATGATCAAAATCAAATCACTCATGTTTCAATAGTACCAGCCATCTAAAGATTGTTTTTTTTTTATGTTTGAGGAGATTGTCACTGGCAAATCGTCCAACATTATTAAATTTTAGTAAAAACTCTCTCTTATACCCCCATGAAAAGAAGTTATTTTCATCAGCACAGCAGAAAAATTGTAATACATTGTGTACCATATACTATTTTTCATGGGCCATTAGTCACAAATATAATGCTAATGTCAGTACAACTTTCTGACTACTAAGAAGAATATTGCTTTAAAACTCTGACATTAGAAAAAGTGGTGGTGACATTTATAGCCCAAAATCAATATATTTTTAATTTTGGGCTTAGAAAATCATGACCAATGTTGTTGTTTTTATAGGACAATTGCAAAAGCTGTTTAAACATGTCTCTTTTAAGATAATTTCTAATTAAGTAAATTTTTCAGATTTTTCACTGATTACAAAATTCAATAAATCACTTTCTTTTCAACAAATCTGTAAAATTATATAAATGTATGTCTTTGATATTTAAACCACTGTTAAAGCCTTTCAAATGATATGTATACTATAGTCAAGAAGACATACACAAAAAATGAGTTCAAAAACAAAACTGACAAAAAGTTAAGATGAACTGTTGCTACTGCTACAACCACTTTGGAGATAAGTTTTACAGAACTTTCAATATGAACATTATGATATTGACTAGTCTTTATGTAATCTTAAGTAAGGCCTTTTTAAGGTATCTTCCAAAGTCATTTATTATTCTTTTAGTCACCAATTAGTGAATATGTGAAAACCAATACAAACATTTATGGGTAATAGTGAGGACCAATCTTTTTTATTTCTTCCCGGCACACTGGACAATAACTTTCTTTCTTCTTCAGCATATTTGCACATTTGGTACACACGCAAACATGAAAGCAGGGGAGAAGGGTTGAGTCTCTTACAGCATCCAAACATACCACACACTCTTTACCTCGATGATCTCGGTTTTCTAGGGTATGAAAAAGATGGTAAGGTTTAATGTGTAAGCAAAACATAATACAAGCAAGAGTTAAGAGTTTACAAGTAACTAACATTGCACATACTTCTGTTTTCTGAAACACTCATTAAAGAAACAGATTTACCTAGCAAGCTCTTGGTATACTTCTGGGATTTCTTTATAGCAACAACAACAATAACAAAAAATTACTCAAGAAAAACCTAAATACCTATGTAATGTTAAGAAAAATTAATGTTGAGAAATAAAACCAGTTTTTTCTGAAATAAAATAAACTATCATTATTACCAAAAGACTGTGTGAATCAATGTCAGGTGTGAGACCATTATATGGCACAATTTTTAGTTTCTCACAATATATCAAAGGACAAAAGTGTTTAGTTGTTACACCCAGTATAATTAATATACTGTGTTTTCCAATATAAATCGGTAACTTGTTACTAAATCTTTAGTATACTATGCAACAAATGAATTATATTGTATTTTATTAAGCTAGTTTATTTTGAATGTCTATTGGTAGGTATCTATAACCTCAAGAGATGGAAGCAATTATCAATAAATCTAAGAGTATTACCTCCACATACTGACCTTCAAATTTATCTGTATTACGAACAAATAAACATTTATGAAAATATTTAGGTTACTCCATTTGTTATATGTAACAAAACAACTAACAGATTTAATATGTTACTTTAACAAACTTTGGTTTCAAATCTGTAATGAACCAGTCTGGAAGAATGTGAGAAAATATTTGTTGTGAAGTGTGATTTAACCACTATTATTTGGTTTTTCACCTTATATTGTTTTCAATTTCAGATTTGCCTCATTACTTTCTTTACATCTTGGATGAATATATTTACTACTTCAGTTTTGTTTGAATGAAATAATTAGTTAATTTCATAACGGAGTTAAAACAATACTGATGTGTTTTTTTAATTATTTCATATTTCTTAGTGCACACTGCTTAAACAAAGGTTTATTTTTCTAAAAATACAGTGCAAACTGCTATTTCACAAACAAAATGTTGTGAAATGTATGAGAATAATTTATATTTGGTTAAAAATAAATGTGAATTTCTAAACCCATCTGTAAAATCTCCATGATGAAATCTATTAATATGCAAGTGATGACAGGGATTTTTCCATGCAAGTTAAGATAATCCTGATAATGAAATAAGAATTTTTCTCCCAGATCAAAAATGCTACAAAAACTGTATATTTCCACAAAACTGTAGTGGATAGTTAAGGTAGTAATAAGACTAAAGTATGAAAAATGCTGTGGCAATGTTTTTGATTAAAAAATACAGGTTTACCTTCATATTTATAGGTTTTTTTGACAATGTTTGAGCCAAAGAGAAGAAAATAAACGATAAGAACAATTACAAATGCTTTTATAGATTTTTAAAGGTTTCAATGGAAGGTCTGTAATTTTGAATCTGTAAAGTTGTTGTCTTGACATGCTAGCCTATTATGTAATTCAATAAATTAAACTTTTCTCTTTCTATAAATAATGTATATTCAACTTTTTTTGAAAAACAATAAGTGATAAGAGGGAATGGAGTGCAAGTTTGACTTTTTGGTTTGTATCTCTATAAATCAAGAAACAGTGGGCCCTCCTGCGACACAGGGGGTACAGTTCTAGAGCAAGCTGTGTTGGAGGAACTAAATACTTTATAGGTTTAATAGGGATACGGGAACACAGCCGCGTTAAGTCTCAGATAAATGCTTATATATGGATTTTTTTACACATAAATGAAAAGCCCTACCTACACAGTATTGTATATGAACTAAAAATACAATATCATAAACATAATAACAATGACAGGTGATATCCTGCACCTGTAAATGAAAATATCTTCAATAAAATAATACAGTACTGCATTTTATTGTAACACTCAACTATGAATGATGAAGACCTTTCATTGATAATGATAACAGATTTGGAGGCTGAGAGGTTAATTTAACGCTGATGGATCATCTGGATCATTGAAAAATTCAGCCTCAAATTCCAATGAAGCAGATGTAGAAGTTCATGGGATGGGGTCAGAAGGCATTACATCGGCTGACTTGGACTTCATAAAGTCAGTAAATTTCAGCTGTTTGGTTTTCCTCTGCAAATCTTTCAAGATTTCTCTGTAGGGTGCTAGAACGTCATTAAACTCTCTTTTAAATTTAATGCTTCTCTCCATTATGGGATCCATGTCTACAACCATTTCTGCAAGCTCATCTGCCTTACATAGAAAGTCGGACACATCCTTTGCTGTGAGGATCGGTTTAGCAGGTTCTGTCTCTTCAGGATCTTCATCACTATCACTGTCGGCTAACGGTAATGGGATTCCAGCAGCTCAACCACCTCCTCATCTCTCAAACCCCTCACCCCCAATTTCTTTAGCAAGTCTTATGATATCGGCAACTTCCTTCTCAACCATCAGGAAAGCTCTTGAAATCGTTTAAAGTTGATGCCAGCATGACTTATGGTAGACTTTTTCACCTTGTCCCATGACATTTTGGTGATATTGATACAGTCTTTAATGTTATAAGCTTTCCAAAACTTGGTTAAGTTTTTGAAAACACTGGAGTCTATAGCTTGGGTTGTGCATCAGTAGACAATCCTTGTATAGTAAGACTTGAATGTCTTTATTACTCCTTGGTCCATCAGTTACAGGATGGATGTGGTATTGGAAGGTAAAAATGTTATCTCCACATTAGAATGGCTGAATTGCAGTGTGTCAGGGTCATGGACAGGAGCATTATCCAAAATTAGAAGAACCTTAAAGTCTAGGTTCTTTCTCGCCAGGTATTCTCTAACATCATGCACAACATTATTTTGCAACATTGAATAGCATCCTAGTTACCCAAGCATTTTTATTTGAACACCAAACAACAAGCAAATGTCACTTATTCTTGCCTTTTAATGCACATGGGTTTGCAGAGTGGTACACTAACTAGTTTCTGGAGGATCAAGGTCACAAAAATAAAAAAAATCCCTAGCTGTAAACATGGAGACTGATTTTTCACACAATTTTTGCTATATAACTCAGTCAAAAACCAGATTTTGATGAAACTTGGTAAACATATGTAAAATATTATTCCTCATTGTCCTGTCAAAAATGGTCTGCGTCCATTGATAACAACTTACGTACAGACACGTTTTTGTATTTATTGAAAGCCGAATATGATCAATGCTGCGTGGCGGAGGCATATGATTTACTGAGTGCCTCTCTAGTTAACTAGGTTTTGATGACAAAATTATTGACATACATTGACAATAAAGTAGTTTATATAAATTTTGAATGTAAATATGTAAAACTGTCATGATATGAGCACTTTTACCAACTCATATCCAGAGGGGAAAAGTGTATTCCTAATAGTATTTTAAGATGAAACTCCCACTTTTCAAATACAGACAAGGCAAATGCCATCGGCTTGTCACATAAGTTGTTATCATGTCTTAGACTGTATAATACGGTGAATTAATATTCTTTTAATTAACCATTTCCAGCTCAAAGGCATTCATAAGAATTATTAATTAAGAGGCATCACTACATCTAAAACACAGACATAGCATGATTTTGAACCTAAAATAAAAGTTTACAATGTATAGTGAAATAGAAACCACTATATAACTGTCTAATATGCAATTACATAACATGCAATAAACATTGACCAGAGAGAGGTTTCACAAATGCTTATACAATAAGATAATCACAGGTCTAATGATGTTATGTAGAGTCAAAAGAAACCATGAATATAAATACTAGAATAAAATAAAGAGATAAGCATGGGAATTATTAAGATAAATTTATCACTTTTAACAATACAAAATACAAAATTATGTAACTTGAAAGCATTCAATCAACGATTGAGAAAAGCTTCTGAGATTACAACTCAAAGTTTTAAAGAAACTAACAACTCATATAAAAAAGAAAGATCTCTAAAACAATTAGATTATGAGAAAGAAAATAATCCCAGTTTTCAGAAGCCATATTTATGGTTTTGAAAAGCTAGAAAGTTGTAAAACAAAAAATACAGTCAGATGAATTTCATAGTTTCAAATCATTCAAGCTTGAAATAAGCAATACACAAAATAAGACCAGAGATCTGCAGATTTGTACAAGTTTTATCTTCTCAGACAGGATGTTTAAATATCTGACTCCCCAAACAATAAATAAATTTGGAAGGCAAATAAAACAGGGTTACCATTTTGGATTTTTTATTGCTTTATCTATAACAAATACTAATAAAATATATTTCAAAATAGAACTAACTTTGAACATATAATTTCATTCTGTAGTTGATTTGAGGGCAGAGATCAAAGTATTTTCTAAAACCTAATGATTTTAAAAACAAACTGGAAAGGATGAGAGAAAGGCAGATTTTCTTATAATAATTACCATCATCATAAGATGTAGAGAGAAAATCCTGTGGAGGCAAGCTTGAAATGCTGGGCCTTAGTCTTCGTTGATGTCCACGATGTTTCCGGAAATTTTTTATGTATTCTGTTTGGACAGAAGTGTTCTAAAAATATTACACTATTTCTTAACTAAGTAATTTAGAACATTTTACATTAAAACACATCTCACATTTACTTCAAAAACAAACAACTAAATTAACTCCAAAGTATTTTGTTTAACATTTTGGATTATCTTTTATTCCTCACACCTCTCTCAGTAACAAAGTATCAATGATGCTTAAAATAATATTCACAGGTCTTAAATAGGCATCATAAGAACCAAACTACTCAACAGTCTTTACTATCTCCTTAAACATACTGTTATATATTAAAATTAACAGTGGAAAAGAATTTTTCTAGGACTATGATGATAATGGCCAACACAAAATGTAATAAAATGCTCCTAGTAATAAAACCATACACTTGAAGGAACAAAGTGCCATGATACAAACTGGTCAAAATACAATAAAAGGGAACCCTTGAATTCTGTAGTTACATTACATAATTCAGATGGATTCACGATATGTGAAAAAACAATAAATGTTGGAGGTTTATGCTTCTGAAATCTCACATGAAGGTAGCAACAAGTAATCCCTTAAAAACTAGGCTAAAACTGTAGAGAACACTAAGGACTTAATATTGTGTTGTATCTTTAATACATGGGATGTAATTTCCAAGTTAATACTCACTGAATACCTTATGACTAGGTTAGAACTGTAGAGTACACAAAGGACTTGATACTGTGCTGAGTTTTATCTCTAGTATGTAGAATATGATCTTGGAGATTAATACTTATTAAATATTTTCCGGCAAGGATTTATTATTGAATAATAATCTGTTGTGGAATGGGTAGAACATTAAATTAATGCAGCAAAAATCATTATTTGATCAAAAAAAGAAGGTCCTCCAATGTAAAGATTGTTTGCAGATGAATAACATATTTATTTCATTCAGGTGTTGCAGAATAGCGATGTTCCAACTTTGGGAAAGAAACAAACACAATTACAAAAAATAAACAGAAAAAAGAATAAATAGAGAATAGGGAAGATATTGAAAAATTTAGTTGAAATGAGGCTGCTATATTTACTTTTGAAGTATTTTCTTTAATCAGTATTTAATTTTCAGGATTTTGAAGACATTACCTAAACAAGGTTACATTTCTACAGTATGAATGAATTGCAAAGTTATTGGGGCTAGAAAGATATCTGCTAACTATGAAAGAAATCCTTTACATTAATCAATTGTAACATTCAAGTGGCATGTTGAGATAGATAGCTCTGAAAGAAGTCCTTCATATTAAACAATTTCACATTTAAGGACAGGTGGAGTTAAGACTGCTTTCTTCTAGCTCTCAAAGAAATCCTTCATGTTAATCAATTCTACTAATCAAGTAGCGTGTGGGGTTCAAAACCTTTTTTTGGTAGATCTGAAAGAAATCCTTCAAAATAATAAATTCTAACATTCAAGTTGAATGTGAAGTTAGATAACTCTGAAAAAAGTAATTCATATCAATTCCAACCTTCAAGTAACATGTGAGGTTAAGTAGCTTCTTCCTATCTCACAGAAAAGTCTTTCATGTTACTGCTCATGTAGATGAGGGTAAGGGTGTATATTTCGTGTATCTGAATTGTCAGAAAGTATTTGACAAGGTGCCACATAAGAGGCTTGTAAAATCAAGAGGTAATCCTCAACGGATGGAGAACTTGAAAGTCTTTTACACAGGATTAGAGCAAATTAAGCTATGAAATCTTGGGCATGGTCAAATATATCAATTGAAAGGGTTTCACCTCCTGAGTCCAAAACTGTAATTAGATCTCAAATTGGTCAATAGATGACAGAGCTAGGAGCTAAAAGTTTATACTTGAAAATAAACTCAGAGCTATTCTATGAGCCGCTATGCCACAGCTAATAACTAACTTCCTGAATCTAGTGTTTCACTACCAAGCATACCCTACCTACATGTTAATTGGTTAAATAACTAACTTCCAAAATCCTGTGTTTCACTATCAAATATACCATACCTAGATGCTAACACTGTGGTTAAATAACAAAACTTTCTGAATCTTTTACTTTGCTACCAAGCATATTCTACCTAGATTTTAACATTGTGGCTAAGTAACTAACTTTCTGAATCCTGTGCTTCACTTTGAATGTACCCTACCTAGGTGTTAACACTATTGTTAAGTAACCAACTTTCTGAATCATGTGTTTCACTATAAAACACACCATGTCTAGATGATTAAGTTTCTAGCTTTCTGAATATTTTAATTCATAGACTATCAATAATACAACAGAGCTATAAGCATGTTAGTGAATCTATAACATCATCAAAATATTAAGTTGGCTGATGAATTAGAATTAGACTAGTGAAACTGTTTGGTTAAAAACTATGATAATTAAAACATGAAAGCTAACAGAGAGATATCTCACACTTAGAACAGTAAGGATACGCTACTGGATAACTTTCACAGCATAAGAAAAGACCCGAAAACTGGACTTTAGTTCCAAGGCTTACTTCAGATTAAATCTATTTTACAGCTCCAAATGCAGTGTGATAATTAGATAGTTTATTCATAAGGGAGCACCATTACAGCATGCTATAACTACTACTGTTATAATGTAAGGCAAAATAATTTATATTGAATGCTATCTTTGAACTGTTTTTACCACAAACTACCCTTGAGGTTCACTTTATAAAATGCTTGATTTTACTATTTAGTGTTGTATTATAACTGAAAGTGAAAAGACTTTCTTTAACAAAGAGTTTACAAAATGCTTGAATTGTCAGAATTAAATTTTTGTTTATTTCTGTGTAATTTCTAAATATTCCCAGCAAACACACTACATATTTACTACATAGTACTTCGTATGACATGGTATTGGTTTGGTAAAGTCCGAATAATACATAGCACATACGTAGTAATAATGTGACTTCATAACGTTGTGCCATTATGCAGTAACTACGTAATAATATTACATTTTATCTACCCAGTCAGAATGTTACTTTACAATATATAGTGCTATTAAGCAGCAATAACATAAGAAAAAGAGTACATCACCTGGCAGTGTAACTCATAGGCTATTATGTATTCCACAGGTAGAATTTCTTATTGGTGTTTAAGTATTAGTTTCGTATATTTAACATCACATTCAAATAAAAATATTATAAATCATATAATTTATTATATTCCATTTAAAAATATTGTTATGTCTCCGTTTGTTTGTTAATTTTCCGTAAATTCGTTCCGATGAAACTTTAGCAACACAAGTCCTTTCTTAAATA